AATCATTCAGTTACTGTACTTGAACACTTTTATACTCGGGAAACAATAAAACACTTTATTTCAATTGTATCTTTGTCTTGATTATATTTATAGATCTAAATGCTTGCAACACATGCAAATACAGAAACACAATGCAAATAGCACAGACCACAACAAAAATGTGTTGGGCACCTCAAAAAGTTTATAGATTGTTTATTATATTTATTATAGATGCGCTCCCACTGCAAAATCATCAGATTCCCTCTAACATTATAAATTATTTCCAAATAGAGATATTTAGTCAACTGGTGAAACTGTATTCATATCGCAAAATGTCTATAGCAAAATAAAAATAAATATAGCAATGTTAGATTTTTTTTAACATTGTGCAACCCTACCCAGCATTATCTTTAATTTTATTATCATAATTTCTTTTTAACAAGCTCTTATTAACTTTTACAGCCCTGGTGAACATTTGTGCAGATGTTGATGTGTAGAAAAAAACACTCATTTATCTCCCTGACACTTTCCCAGACATTTGAGTAAGACTTTATTTTGATGGTCCTTATTGCACGTTTTGTTGATTAAAAGTTGCATTGCAATTACATGCTAATACTTCTCATATGATAATTGGTAATATCTGTTGTTTTCTGATGATGCTGCTCCTTTAATAGACATTTAACTGACATAAGAAACTTTGCAAGTACATGTCAGCTTACACTAACCCCAACCCTAACCTAACAGTCTACTTATAATCTAATGAGAATTAGTTGTCATGTAGATTCAATGTAACTTAAATTCAACAAAATGCATTAAAGGGACCGTCAAAATGAAGTAATACCAACATTTGTACCAGAAACTTTCATAATCACTCCATATCTCTAAAAAAACATTGTGTGCTGAGTGTATCTCACACAGGTGAGTAGGCTTGACAAACCACCTGTAGAAACAGTCTCTCTCCATATGCACCATCCACTTAAACTCCAACTTATCAGTACTCAATTAGGAAAACATTAGCTACGTTTTCATGCAAAGATGTGAAATAAATGTATGTGCAAAACTGGATTATCGCATAAAAGATATGAGAATAAAGCAGCGTTTCCATCCAACGAGTCAAGAGAACAAAATCATCAATTCCTGATTAACTGGTGCCAAATATCAACAGTAAAAACAGAATTTACTGCGGTAGGAGAAGCTGCGTCAAGCTTTTCTCTTTTTAATAAATAAACTTGCATCTCAGAAGACAGTATGCCGAGTAGTAATGAATGTGGTGGTGGCGGCGTTTGAAGGCGTGAGACATGGAGCACAGACGCTCTTGATTCTATAGGTCATTAATAATAAAATAACACTAATACTTAAACGGTAAGGTGTTATAGAATGAACAAAACAACATTTCAGATGTTTTACAGTGTGCTCAGCCCACTGGTTTGTCCATTTACACACATTTTTATCATCACATGATCTCCTATAATGAAATCGCATGACCTTTTTTAATGTGCTTAATAGAATTTATTCAGTAAAAGTGTTTCCATCATAATTTATGCACATCTTTTCTTATCGAATAAAAGGTTCATCCCACACAGATATGCACACATGGTTTTTATGTGCATTTTCAAAATTTATGACCATTATGGCGTTTCCATCAACAATCACATCCAAAACGTGCATAGAAATAGTTGGACGGAAACATAGATAATGTTTACTTGTGAATGTTCCACAAAATCTTGTTGCATTACTTGTTTTCTTTAACCTTAACTTCTTCTTTTGCACAATATCTTGTACAATATTGTTCTTGTGTACAAGTACTTGTAAAGTCCGTTTTAAGTTATGTGCACTGTAAAAAATGCTGGGTTCCACTGTACAAAATGAGTGGTGATTTAAACTTATTTTAAATAAGTAGTTTAAACAAACAGCAAAAATACCTCGTTGAGTGTGTGTAGTTTTATTGTATATGTATAGTCAGAAGTTAGCATAGTTGGATTACTGCTCCAGTATGTTAGTTATATAGGTTTAAATATGTATGTTATTTAAGTATGTTTGTATATAGGTTTAAAATAGCTCTGGGCTCCAGTGTTGTGTTTATATTTGTGATTATGTTGCACCGTGGTCCTGCATGACATGACATTTCATTTCACTTTGTCCACACATGTAGTGGAATGGCAAGAAAGCTCAACTTGATTTGATGTAAAGAAATAACACAGCTAAAACAGTAATGGACTACAAACCAACCCGATTTCATAAGGAAACGTACCTATTTTACATGTTGTCAGAAAAGTGGCTAATTTGTATGAATTCATGTTTTTTTTTTTTTTTTGGAGCATTTTTTTTTAACGAGGCGTGCTCTAAACCCCACCCATAAACCAAACCATCATTGAGATATGATCAAATCATATGAAAATGAATGAATGAGATCTTACAAGTTCATATTAGCCATTAAATAAAAATTTTAAAAAATAAATTGCAGTGACCTACTGTTGGAATAAGAGGTCAATTATTTCATGCATGTTCAATACAAATTCAGGAGGCGGAGATCAATTTAAAAAATATTAGCAATTTATTAAGCACAAATGAATAATTCGATGAGGGCCCTCGGTCGCATAATTGTTTCCTATTGGTTATACAATGCTATTCAAGCGAACACTCCAGGCTTCTGCGAGAGTTTTCTTAAGACTAAAGACCCAGTTTAGTTTCTCTTTTCTGCACAGAAGAACTGGACCAGTTAAATGCACATACTAGAGACCTCCATAGGCCCCAATATATTTTCATAAATGGTTACACAGGAAATCAGAAGCGAGAGACACACGTTTCTTTTATAGTTTCTGCTGCATATTTCTTGTCCAAGATGGTTCGTTTTTGCAAAATGCCTCAAATTTTGCAAAATGCCTCATTATGAAAGAACATATGCAAAATAAATCTCCTCAAAGGCCAGTTTCAGTTAACATTAATTTGACAGAGCATACAAAATATAGTGTAGATTATAAAAAATATATAGAATGATTGTTATAAATTGTAAATTGTAATTGATAAATTGTAAAGATTGTAAATGATTTAACATCACTTTAGGCAAAGCATACACGACATACTAATAGAGAATCAAGGATAACTCTAATAAGAAATGAAAAAAAGAATTATATTTTTTACACTACACTGAGAAATGGTATGCTCAAGTCAGGCCTGCAATAGGTTTGGGTTGATCATCTAGTTCCAATAATCTGAATTTGATATAATTGAGACAGTATTCTGATTAAGAGTCTACCATGTAAACAGTGATTTTTGATTACCTTAACCCGACCAAAGTCATAATCGAACTTAACAGAAATGGAATTAAGACATGTGGAGTATGCTGATATTATATTTGAAGTGCTGTACAGACATGTAAACACTCAAGCTATCACCGTCGAGTAGGATTTTTGATGCATTTTGGAACAGAATATTCCATACTCACACACAGATATTTGACACTTCTCTGCACCTACCGAGTCAGTAAAGGACCACAGACACCTGCATTGTGAAATGCAAAAGTTTTTTTTTTTTCCCATACAATGTGTGGTATCAAATTCCATTAAAACAACACAGTGGTTCATACTCGCTTCCAATTCCTCAGTTTGTCATGCATGAAATGTTCCTGAATGAAAGTGAAGGTGTCAAACTGCAGTTAAAGTTGACAAATTAAAAATGAAACTCCTGAAATTACACGAAACTCTGGAGGTAACGTGGATTGTGTGCTGACGCAATGACGATAATCTAATATTATGTGCAATAACATGTAAAACAGGATCATGAAAGGAGCATTCAAAAAGCAACTCCTGTAAACACCTTAAACATATTATTGTCTTATTCAGATTAAGGCAAATAACTTGATTGTCGTAGTTGTGCAAATGTTGATTATATAATGAAACATTATTGTTACAGTCTCATACAAATTATATTGATGAGAAATTAGAAAACAGATTATGTGATGCTGAAAACTGGAGTACAAATTCTTCTAAATAATAACATGCACAGTAAAATCTGTATTCACTGATCATTGAAGTTTTTAACAAATAAACATTAGGAAAGCTTGAATTATTCCAAACTTTTGAACTGTGGTCTGTGTGTGTGTGTTTTATGACAGTCTACTTCAGCCAAAAACATGCAGCTAGTTAAAGGCCACATGATATAATGAGTTGAATTTGGACCCTTTCCAATGATCGCCTCAAGCTTCAGCTTTCAGACACATGAGAGTGAGCTTAACTTGAGCTCACTAGACCAACAAACAGCAATAGAGCAAAAATTGACAAATGTAATCAAGCAGGTCGAAAATACACTGCTAAATTGCTTTTCAGTTTTTGTCATAACTAGTCCAAATATCAAAAAAAAAAAAATCTTAAATTAAGAAGCATTTTCTAGACAAGTAAAGCGTAAAAAGTTTTTTCTTGTTTTCAGAAATAATGTCAAAACTGAGCAAGTTTTTTTTTTAACAAGTCATCCTATTTTAAAGTTAAAACAAGATTACTTTACTTACATTGTTGGTGGATTATTTTGCTTGTTTTAAGGAAAAACTTAATTTTGACTTGAAAACAAAACAATATCCTAAATGCTTCATGATTTAAAATTATCTTTAGATGTTTGTACTAGAAACAAGACAACAACCCAAAAGTACTGTATGAGAAGCGTTTTTTGCAATGTATATGAGCATGTTTAAAATGTCCTGAAAGCTGCAGAGAAAGCAAAGAAAAATTAATAAAGCAGACATTCCTTACGCACAATACTGACCCAGCAACCACCAAAACACTGAGAATCACTCTCTAGCAACCAGACACAAACACAAGCACACTACCTAGTTCATCCAGCATTTTTCTTTAAAACGTTCCTCTCTATAAACATCCCAATTAGTGCCTGTCACTGTTCTGTCATGTGCTGGCTTGAGATTATATGGGTCATAACTCCCTAAGCACTTTTACTAGATGTATATGTTAGAGTTAGTATCCTTGGATTTAGTCTTCCTGTAACTCATCTTTCTCTTTTTCTCTCTGTGTTAGGTGTATTACTGTCGTACATTGGCTATCGCCTTTATTGAGCACACAGTGCTGCAGCGTTTCCATGATCTGATTCAGGATGAACAGACTCCAGCTGCTCTCAGATCAGTGCTGGGGCGTCTCTGTGCTCTCTATGGCTTGTGGACTCTCACCAATCACATGGCAATCTTGTATCAAGGTAAACCACTGTTCAAGGCATCTGATTATCTGCTATTATTATTATTATTATTATTATTATTATTGTTGTTATTATTATTGTTATTATTATTATTATTATTATTAACCCTTATGTGCTGTTGGGAATGTTTTATCCACTCTGGGGTGTTTTTGAGTCTTAATTTGGTCATACTAACTGTTTCTGTTTCAGCTAGCAGCTTATTTTCATATAATTTTTGGTGACAAATGTTATTTTAACACATATGTTGAGAAAATGCTTTGAATTTTTTACTTAACGATACACTGGGCAACTGTCTTAG